GTGAGAGCCTGGTCCGGTGAGAACCCGGCGTGCTCCGTCCCGGCTTTGTAGGGATGCGAGGTCAATGGTCACACGACTACGGCATGCACGACTATGAGTATGAGTACACCCCTACTCTTGTACATCCTCTCTGCGCCGCCGTTTGTCACTCCCGTTTTCTTGTACAACATTTGCTGCCTTTTCATGCCTCGCGCTTGCTCCAGAGATGACCCCCAGCAGCAGGTAGAGACAATATCCCACCGACTCCAGACCAAGAAAGGGGGAGACGCAGGCGCCTCGTCCCCCCCCGCGGCCGGTCATACCTACCACCACCACCACCACCATTACAGCAACGCCCAAAGCCATCACGCCGACGCTCCGTCGATCCCGACGAAGTCTACGTCAAAGTCGTCTACGAAGCACGCTCGAGAGAAGGTCGCGGGTTCGAAACAGAAGGCTGGCACTGAAAAAACCTACAGCTTTCAGTGGGACGAAGGTAAGAAAACGAAGGAAGTTTGGCCGTGCTTGTAAGAATAAACCGCATGTCCTTGCATTTTGGTCTCAAGTCTAAACGTTATGATCCATTGGGAGAAAACGCGAAATCGATCGTTTGTGTTGCTAGCGTACAATGTTATGTTGTGATATCTTGCTCTCCAAGTCTCACGGAGGCAGCTTTCGACTACAGCCGCGCGCGTTGCAAAAATCCCATAATGATCGCAATCGCCTCCATGCGTCAACGTGTACTGTGGCTTGCGTGGTCTTGGAACACCCCGCAGCTCTCTGCCCTAGCCTTGTTCGGATGCTTAACTCTTCGGCGGAAAGACTATTGGCCGTGCGTGATAGGGTTGGCGTAATCGTAACTCAGGGATGCGTTGCGAGTAGAAACTCACCACGGCAAGCACCAGATGTGAGTCCCTCCCGCCTCTTCATCGCGTGCCATGCTCCAGAGTTTCTGCTTCCCGGGGTGTCGGACTCAGCGACGATCATCTTCACAGTTCTCCACCAAGCGCCAACGCGGGCGGTGTGCCTGGGACAGACGTTCGTGGAGCCAAAGCGGTTCAAGAAGAACATGGAACACGTGTGCACCGTCGCCCTCGCGAAGAAGCAGGTAGAGCAATGTTTGGAGGAAGAGCGTCAGCGGCGGCAGTGGTGTGGGTTGAGGTAACTCGTTCGTTAGTCACAGGTTGTGCGGGGTGGGAGACGGGCCCGCTGTAGCCTATTTATGTTGTGCCTGTCTCCCTCTCGTTACCCTTGCGTTTGTTGCTCTTCGCCTCTGTGAAAAGAGCCAAGCCCACACTTCTACGTGAAGCAGGAATTTTCTTCGATGACAACGCCGTGGCACCCATAGAATCCGCCTGGTTCGAAGCACAATACTCAGCTTTTCACCCTTCGGTCGCGGCAATGCACTTTTCGAGGATCGTATGCGACTATTTCCGCACTTTGACATGGTACCAGCACCCTTTTCCTGTAGTCTCGTGGATCGAAGATCCTAGCGGTGTCGTCCTTCTGCTTTTCACTCAAATACCTCGGTATGGCATCGTGTTGTCGTCTCCTACGGCTTTTTCCGTCCCTCAGCGGATAGCGATGTCGGAATTCGTGCCCCACTGCTTCCATGACTGGTCACTGAGTCCAAGCCCCTCACCCTTAGCTACCAAATTGTCCACAGCCCGCGTGTGAGGTCTGCCCGTTCCACCTATGCAGCATCGACCACGGGCCGACTGATGTGTTTTTCGGCGTGAACCATAGTGCTGTGTGAGGTATCGGAAACACGCCATGCGACAAGTAATACTTCCCCTGGTTTCGTTTCGTTACTAGGACAGCAGTAGGCTGATGTCCCTCCGACGGAAGCTCGTAACCACTTGAAAAGCAATGCCCGCACCATTTTTCTCCTGTCTAGGTGGAGGTACCCTCCGCACCACACAACCGCGGAGAGGAGGCGAGAATCGCCAACATTGACTCGGCGAAACCCGGCAAGCTCACGTTCACGATACGGTAAGGAGATGGAAAAGGAGGGGGGGGCGGTTCTCATGGTGTGCTTGCTGTAGCCTTCGACCGACTGGAACTCGCCCCCGGGATGATGGACTCACTTCACTCCGAACACAGAAATTTCTGCAACTTTTGCGTGACAAATAATCTGCTTGGACATATCTCCGGCTCCTCACAAGCGACGGCGATCTTGTGCTCGCCCGAGTCTCATCCAAATCCAACCATGTCGCATCAGCATCAAGTGCCGCACCTCTTCCGCCACTGCATCAGATTGTCGCGACAATGTATGAATACATTGACCATGAGGACAACATGTAGCCTGATGCACCCATCTTATGGAAAATGCTCAAGGAAGTCCGATCGAGTCGGGACATGGGCATCGGTCGGGTAGAATCTGGGTCGGGCCGGTGCTTGGTGGTCACCTGCACCACATTTCTCCCGCCCAACGTTTTTTTCAGTGACGCTAGAGAGCCTTAGAAGAATGTCCAGTGAACACTGTATCGACAGCTTTCTGTTCGTACGTCTGTCTTGGAGCTGTCCACAGAGACACGATATCGACATCCTTGTAGACGTTCCACCTGAGATGTAATACTGAAAGCTGTTGTAACTTACCCACCAACAACCCCACGTTTTTTTTCTTCGAATTTCATCTCATTCCGATTGGTCGCCTATTGTACCCCACCACCCTTTTCCAACGTCTTCACCCAAACATGGGAACATTAACCTTTAGCACACGCGCCGGTTCACTTCGTTCGATTAACCCCGTCTGCTCGTCTTTGTGATGCCATGACCGTGGTCGGGTCTCAACTCTATTGGTTTTTATCCTCATCAGCTATACATACACGAGTTCCGTTATTGTCGTCTTGTAGATGACGATAGCATAACACATGATTGGGATGCATGTATCATACCCAGAAGCGTCTATTATGAGTAGTTCATCATGTCACGCAGACGCGCGGTTTCGTGTGCAGGCAGTTCAATCACCTCGTATGCTACGGAGGACGATGACCCCCATCCTTATGCGACGCATACCCTGAAGCAAGTAGAAATTCACTATTACGCACAAACATGGCTTGTTTTCCCGTGTTTTTTACGTTGAACGAATTGTGTTGTCTATCGCAGGAAGGCCTCGTCCTGCGATGCGCACTGCTCGGAAGTTCATGGACCCATCGCCGAAGAGGTATATGTATTGCTGGTATGCCAACGGTTATTTGCCGGTAGCTCACGTGCATAGATAGCGTAGGGGAGACAAGATAGACACGCAAGCGAAAGAACGGCTTCATGACGGCATCAACAGGCCATAGAAAGATGCAAGGTGGGACAGAATGGTCATGAGGGGTGATAATCAAGCACGATGGGTTACAGCAGTAGATAGAAGTATTACTCCCGACAAAGGAGTTGTCACCCAGGCACTCAATGGGAATACGGTTTCATGGCATCTCCCGTTATGCTCAGCGCCACGTCCGATCAACATTTGCCACGTCCATCGCCCTAACCCAAACAGCACCATCCCCATCGCAATGATAAACACAATCAACCGCAACATTATTCCCTCCTCTATTTCATCCCCACCTCCTCTCGTGACTCCGCGGCGTGACAGATCAACACGTTGGCGCTTGCGGAGGGCCAAGTGCGTGGGCGGCAGAACGAGTCAACTTCTTCCGTTATAGGCCACACCAAGGAGAGAGATGGGAACACGCACGCTAGTCACGACGAGAAGAATTCCCACGGTGGTAGCAAAAGGTGAACGAGAACGAAGCAGCGCCGAATATCAGTCGCCGCTGTTCAAGGCTCGAGATACACAGTTTCACGGAGGAATACATGAACTTACAATCGGCAAGAATCAATAACGATGCCGCCGCGTCACCACGAATAACAACCAACCATCGGCCCATGTTCATCAATCGCGCGCAGCAAACAACAAGCTACCGCCACCCCTACCACTTCACCGCCGAGAGGGCGGCTGGGGACCACTGGAAAGACCGCCACCACGATGAAAGTCGGGGACTTGTCCACCGTGTGGTGGGTGTGCGTGTGGCAGGGTGTGCTCAAGATTTTCCGAAACCTGGGGGACGCGCAAGCTAAGGTAGCTGAACCAGATTGTGCAGTGGCAGTGGCAGTAGTCGTGGTCTTGGACGTGCTTAATGTTGCCCCGAAGATATCGCACTGCTCTCTCTCTCTCTCTCTCGCTCGCTCGCGCGCGCGCGTCGTGCCGGGAACGCTGCAGAAGGAGTACTTTCTCCTGTACTAATAACTAATAATACTTGCGTGCTTTCTCCTGAAAAAAATGCCCTGATCGTTTCGCATTGCCTTTGAAGTTCAAAATGTGTACGTTTTCAACTTGCCATTTTCTCTGTTGTCATTTTCATTGTTGTTTCACTCGCAGTATTTGGTCTCCAGTTACTCACCCGCCCGCACAACTCGAAAGCCGCGCCCCCTGGCGCAGCCTAACTTAGAATGCGCTCTGAGAATCCTGTCGCGCATGCCATAACGTGTGACTGTAACAGCTGACCTTGCCCCTTGACCGGTGGACCATAGCACCGGCTGAGGAAGAACCCGGCGGAAGGCCTGCAAGACCTGATCTGTGGCTCGTCTCCGCTAGCCCCAAGAGGTTCGCGAGAGCGTGGGTCGTGGCTTTGGAAAGACTGTAAAATATTTTGTTTTCGTGGCCTCTATTGTTTTGGGTGGGAGGCGTGCTCTTGTTTCCTGCGATGGCCTGTGTTGTGGGGCAGGCGTCATTGACTCTTTTCGTTCGACAGCGGGCCGGAGCGTGGTCCAGTATCGACAGCAAGAAAGCGGCAAGTCGTGAAGTATGTGGAGTGGGGCCTTGTCTCACGTCCACGTTCGGCCAACTCGCAAGAAAGAACGAGATGGTAGCGTGCGAGGCAAACGGAGGCAAGACACATATCTCGCCACCGGTCTAACCGCTTCTTCCATCAACCTGACCACAGGTGGCTCGTTTTGCGATGCGTCTCAAAAGTGGACAAGCTGCGATTCGAGGAGATTATCGCCAGGAACCAAGCAGGCCTCGCACAGCGTGCACCCGCCATTGTGGAGACGACCGTCGAGTCGACATTATAGCGCCAGCTTCACTTGGGAAGGCGGGTAGCTGTCTTGTGCGGGCGTGGTGCAGGGTGGTGCACTCAACAGCGCAAAGGTGTTGTGGGCACATGCACACACCCATTCGTCACTGCGCAAGTTTCACGGTAGCATTGATGGGACGAAGCACGTTCCGACCGTGAATAGCCCTGTGGTGCCATGCGCTCCATCCTCAGTGGACAGGGTTCAGCGTGCTTGGAAGCGGACAAGGTCCAATCTCAAGCAAACGCCCCGGTGGAAAAAGGGCCAATGCATTCGAAACAAGATATGCGACCAATCCCAAAAAGATTCTGCTTACAATGAGTACCTGAGCCCTTCGATGACTGGGCGAGTGTAGTTGTGCAGAATACTTCACGTAGTCCCCACCCTGTGGGTTCTACTCCCTTCGGGCTTGCAAGATAGACATGTCGTAACATCTTCTGTTTGTTCCCTTCCTCCGCCGACCTTTTGGGCAAGTCCAAGTCCCACGCTGGAGCTCTCACCACATTCTGATACACGACATATTCCTCTAGGCATCGCATGTTCTCTCTGTGTCTTTGACTAATGGGAATAAAAAGATGCTGTCATTCTTCCTTGTGGTGCTCAAGCTCTGGGTGGAGATGCAGGCCGTCCGCGAATTCGCTCGGAGGTGCATGGCCCGGTATTACCCGGGAAGTTGACCCCTTTCGAGTGGATCGGCGGCGGCTCGATGTGTCATTTTCGGCGGCGGACGCTTCTGCTGGGGCATACACCTGGCAGGACGTGTTGAAAGAGGTAGATACACACAGAATAACAGGATAGAGGCGACTCAGCCGCCAGTCAATAGAAGAGGTTTGGTCTCCACTATACCCGCTTGGTTTTGTGCAGCCAGTGTTTAGCCAATGTAATTCCATTCATGGCCCATGGCGTGCAGATAGATCTCATGTCAGCCTGGAACGAGGCCAGCTCTTTTTTTGTGAATGCGCGGTCTGCTGCTGCCGTCGCCCCAGTCGACGTTGAGCCAATCCTTGAAAAGGAACCAACCGCCCCCCAACAGCAAAAAACAAGCAACAAAAACGCGAGAGGAAGCGCTCCACGTACAGACTACAGCCAAACCTGCATGCCCTCGAACATTGACCCTTTCCGGCCCGCGGTCCCCTGGTCAGAAATGGCGGCCAATGCCAGGGAATATCTTCGCCTTTCCATATTGTCGCCTCCGCCCGCAAGGCTCACCTTGGTAGAGCGTCTCCGGCCTGGCGCTCCGTTTCCCTGGGAGAATAGGTCAATCACGTTGAAATTCAGCCAACGAGAAGGCAGTGGCGGCAGCAGCTGACAGATGGCTGGGTGTAGTGTCCTACGCCGCGACGGACTGGCCGCACGGAGAAAAACATGGCGTGTTCTGGCTATGAAGGGATATTTTCTTGTTCGAAGCGAGCTGATCTCATCACCCAGCCGTTCTTCCTGGTTGACCGAACACAGCAAAAAAATACGAACGCAAGAATAAAGTCTTAACTCGAAGCAGAACAAGGACAGAAGTGGGGTTGTAAGATCCCGCCTGATAGAAGCATGGATTCTATGGTTGATGATTATCGCGATTTCTGTCACGAGGAGATGAGTCCCCCAAAAGTGCCCCGCTACTCTCCCACGGCCTGCCCTGAGGTAAAACCAGCGCACGTTTAGCGCTGAGGAACGCCGTCGCCCGCCACCCTCTTGGCCTTCCCAATGTCCCTCTGCCGACAAAGAGCCCCGCGGAGCGCGATCGTCCGCGTATGACACTCTCCGAGCCCCCGGATTGCTCGCCGCTATCGACACTCGTCTGCCCTTTGGCTGCTGCTGCTGGGCCTGATCGGCGGCTTCTTCCTCCTCTGAGCGGTGCATTGTTGTAGGAGAAGCGGGGGCACGATGGTGTGTGTGGAGTCCGGAAAAGAAGAGAGCGGGAGGGTGCTTCAGGTTGGAAGGAAGGAGAACGAAAGGAGACCAAATATACACAAGCTTGCCAAGGGCCCACCGAACCGCCTGTACCCGTTTCTTAAGAACGTACTCAACAAATTCCAATCGCTTACGCCGACACCAGATTTGTGTGCAATGGCGTCCTTTCGAGAACGCCCCGCACCATGAGAACACCTTTCACCACCTCCCTGGCCCAACGCGTACATGACGCCGGTAGTACCCAAAACTTTAACTTCGTAGAATGCCCCTGGGTATCTTTCGCCCCCACACCTCTGGCAGCGCCACGGGGTCTTCTTTCATCGATGAATTTCAATGAGAAACCCGAAGTGTTGGCGCTGTTTCCATAGGTGTTCCTGTGGTTGGGTAGTTTCGGTCATTTCGATACCATTCAGTTGGCTGAGAATCGAGCCACCCCACGGTACTGTTGCAAACAACTCACCGCTACCACTACCAGACCCGCTGCCGCTTGAGCTGCTAGTTCCGCCTGTCCCCCTACCGCTCTCCCCTTCTCCCTCTCCTTCAGCCCCATTCCCACTGTTTTCCTCGGCGCACGGTTTCGTCGGGTGGAGGCCTGGCTCCTCTGGCCCACCCTACACGACAGCAAACCGACCGCGAGAGGGGGGCGGTCGACGGTCGATACACCGCGGGTATATGGGGCAGGAGAGAAAAGTTTTTGCCAGTGGTTGCGTTGTGGATACAGGATGAAGATTTCTGTCTGCCGCGAATCACTGTTTCGTTTGAGGAGCCACTTGGGCAGTGAGGGTGCTACGGACGACTCGACACGATTGGTTGGTGTTGGGTGCGCGGCAAGGGTGGATTGGCGGGTCGTTACGATTTGCTGTCAATCGGTCATTCGTGCAGGGTACGATAGTGACCGGTAGCTGGTGTAGCGCGGCACTCTCCTGTAACAGAAATGGCAACGTCCCTCGAAAGCGAAGAGCAACGCCTACTCCCACAATATGGCCGAACACTCATCACCACAGCCACAACGCCGAGCCTAATCGTTCGGCATGGATGGGAAACTCCGAGTTGAATTGCTAGAATAACGAGAAAAGGGACCACCGAACACTTTTCGCGTCAAGCAATTGAAGTCAACTACCGCTGAAGGAAACGTGGAGAGCGTGTTATGAGTGACCCCGAATGCTGCGTTTAAGTATTCACCAAAGAAAGGCCGGCGTTGACTGACGGCCAGAATAGATGTGGCGAAGAAAATAGAGCACTCGTTTTGCCCAGAGGACAACATTGTGACCCGGAGCTTGTCACAGAGCTTTCAAAAATTTAAGCGTGCCAGGTATCTTTTTCGACCCAGAGGGGGCACCGGTAGAAACAGAGGGGGGGGTAGCCCGTGACGCAACTCAGCATACCAGTCCCCCCTTTTGGGCCCGACAGAGAAACCCAGTCCGATAACCACAAGGTACCATGGGTTATTGCAGTTGACACAGCGGAAGTGTTTGAGCGTTTCAGGACTGGTGCGGCTCGGAGCTGCTCAAGCGGTACCTCTTCCTTTGTGGGTCCCCCTGCAGCAATACCGGCGGGGACATTATTGCTTGCTCTCCGCTTCCCTCCTACATCGCCCTGGTTTCGGAGTCCATCATGCTCGGTTCTGAGCCTGTGGGACAATTGTATTGCGGGCGCCGTGGACGTGGTATTCAAAGGTATGTGTTTCTCAAACAATGGGTATATGTTTCTCGAACCATGTTGTTGCCGTTCCCCCTTCGTGTCCCGGACACGGAACCCGCCTGCCTAACAAGCAACCTTTGTGGAACTGAAGATATCGAAAAATACGGAACTAAGGTGTACGCGGGACGTCTTGTGGCCGGAGTGCGAAAGGGAGAGCTTCGGGGCCAAAAAGGCGAATAAGCGCAAAGTTGAAGCTCAGCGACTGAGTTAAAAGGCCACGGAGTGGTTGGTTTGGCTCACTTCCGTTATGTACCAGGGGTGACGGCGAACAACTGCCCCCCCCTCCACCCCTGACGGGACGCATGGTCTCACCGAACAAAAGAATGAAGAGTTGGGGGAAAGCGGAACAACACGCCTAGCATCTAGACTGTGCCCTCCATTGCATCGTTCCAATGACACCATGCTTGGTTGTGGCACCGTCCCTCTTTCGTGGAAAAACTGATAGCACAACTGGCACGTTCCGGGATGGTAATACAGACCCTATCATCGCTTTGGGGCAGTAACAAGCACCCTTCCGTTGCAGCTGATGCCTTTGGATTCGGAAGAGGCCGTTTGTATGCTCATGACAAGGGGGACTACAAAGTACCCGTTTGATGGGTGCAACGCGGCACACAAAAGGCACACACAAGAGAGAATCGGCGCACGACGAAAGCCATCTAACGAGACACGCGATGACTCCGTCACTTTGGGTAATTTCCACCCCTACAAACATAACCATTCTGAAAGACTGACAGCTCTTCGTAATTGAATTGTACCCATCGACTCGAAGGGTTGACGCTCAGGGCGAATGTCAGGCAACAAGGGTGTCGAAAGGGCTGATATGCAGGCAACACTCACTTGGTGTATTCTCGACAGAGGTTGGCTCCAACCATGCGAGCCTTTCGACGCCTCTTCGTGGCTTTGCGCCAAAACCGCTGCCCCAGAACCTGCTACCCCGTGGGGAAAAACGCGTTGAGCTCACACATAGCGCATGCGTCGTCGTGCTGTCTGGTCACTCTCGATGGGTGTAGGCTGATCTGCTGTGCCGATGATCGTCGAGGCCCGTGGTTTTCCGTGGGGTCATGTGCAATGCATGGAACAGTGTGTCCCTCCGTAAACACGGTCTTGTGCGATAATTGTAGTGGGGCATGATGTCATCGTGGGCCCCGCACGAAACCAAAAACAGTATGCGTACACCTTTGCTCGGAGGGTCTTCTGCAGCTTGAACGCGGGGAAGAGCATTGAACCCAGCCGCCGCTCCTCCTTCCTGAACGTCTCGAAGGAAACCTTGTCCCGGTTGTGAGGGTCCATGATACCCATGAGGGTGTTGGTGGTGTCCCTGATGCGGGTCTTCTCCGAGTGAAGCAGCGACACCAACCCAATCACGTCCTGCCTGTTGCAGAACTCCTTGCCCGACGCCATCACATCGAAAGCGAAGCGCACCAGGGCTTCGTGGAGAAGTGTGCCTGAGTCGTAAACGGCCGCGGCGGTGCACTGGGTGAATTATTTCCACCGATGAGGGCGGACAAGAAGAAGGGATTGGGTGGGGTTTGGACAAGTGTGTGCACAAATGGCATGGCAGCAGCGGTAGCACGAGCGGCAATCTCCCATTCCCGAAGCATGTAATTCACAC